TTAAAACAACATGGGTAGTATAAGATGTATTTAGGACAAGATGCATCACATGGGACAAGATGTTCCAGCATGTGTACAACATCTGACCTCAATTTGCATGCCAAGATTTGTGAGTTATTATGAGTGAGATTTTGTTTGATTCTAAGAAGATTTGTTATCGTATCTTTTAGAAATATGTTATTTAGTAAGATTTGATAAAAAGATTTAATAAGATCAAATCTAATTATATGAAGATTTAAATTGAATGAAGATCAAATAAAATAAAATCTCTTGGTGGTTGTTTTTGAAAAGCAAATTAAATATGCATATAAATCAAGTCTGGTTATTCTTAAGTCTAATGCCAAGTGGAGAAAAGCCCAAGAGATGAATTTTTATATAAAGAATCCTCGTCCCAACAACATTGAAGACAGGAGCTAGAGTTGAATACATTGTGTGTTAGGTTTTTGTTCTTTGAGTCATTGTAATTGTTTCTATTTGTGCACCTTTATATCACTTAAATTTCATATCAAAGGTATATAGGTCATTTGTTTTGATAGAGTTGTAATTAACAAATATTATTCTGAGTTTTGTATTGATTGCTAGGGTTAGTGGTTAAGAGAAAGTGACATGGGTTCTCATATTTAGAGTGAGTCCTAAATAGAAATACACATGTAGTATTAGCAAGATGGACATTGAACAACGGTTTTTCATATAAGACACTTTGTGCTAATACTATTGAGAGTGAATTTTCTTTTTTTGGCTTGTAACCCCCCAGATGTAGGTGTTGTTGCATCGAACTGGGTTACCAATTCCTTTATGTTCTTTATTGCTTTTTGATTTTATTCTTAGTATATGTCAATCTATTACACACATTGTCTCAGACGTCGTGTCCAACATTTGTCCTACGAAAAACAAAATTTTAATTGGCATCAGAGTAGGCACCTTGTTCTATTTAATTGAGCTCTAGGAAAATTATATTCTGCTCAAATGGACAATGTTAAGGATGGATGATTAGTAAATATACCACTTGTTTTAGATGACACCAATCATGATTATTGTAAAGCTAAAATGGTTATTTTTCTTAAATTCATGGACAACGAAACATGGAAGGCTATAATAAATGGTTGGAAACACCCTATGAGTACCTCTCAAGATGGAACATCAATCTTAAAGCCAGAAGCTGAGTGGTCCAATGTTGAATATGATTAAGCTCTTGGAAACTCTAAAGCCTTTAATTCTATTTTCAACGGTGTGGACAAGAACATGTTTTAATTAATAAACACATGTATTGAAGCCAAATAAGCTTGGAGATCCTCAAAACTGCACATGAAGTCACATCCAAAGTTCGTATGTAAACATTGCAACTTCTCACTATCAAATTTAATATAACGTGTTTAAAATAAGTTAAAAATGTATTTTACTCATAATGCATCATTATGAGTCGACGCAACAGGTTTTGCATCAATCCATAACATACTGAAGTCCCTGAAATACTATCTCAAACTATTATGCATCAATACAAAATCTTATGCATCGACACATAACACTTTGATGCCCCTATAATGCAAACTCAAACTTGCATGCATCGATACAAAATCTTATGCATCGACACATAACACTTTGATGCCCCTGTAATGCAAACTTAAACTTGTATGCATCGATACAAAATCTTATGCATCGACACATAACACTTTGATGTTAATGCAAACTTAAACGTATATGCATCGACACAAAACCTCATGCATCGACACATGAAATTATGATGCTCCTGGAAAACATTTTTGAATTTATATGCATCGATACATAATATCATGCGTCGACTCATACCACGTTTTATGTTCAAAAATTAAAATTACAATCAGTATGCATTGACACATACGTGTTATGCATCGACGAATATAAAATTGTTGGTTCTGTAAAATGTTATGATATGATCTTGCATCGACTCAAAACAACATGTGTCGACTCATCCTGTAACTCATAACTAACATGAGTCGACTCATGACCAACATGCATAGACTCATAATACTTTCTTTTGGCTAACCGTTTTCTGTTACATATATAAGCAAGTACTTTTCTCAGCAGAAAGTCAAATTGCAACATATTAAAATTGTGTGAAAACATTTGTGAGCAGCCAGAAGCCTAAAGAAACTTCATCTTCATCATCTTCTCAATCATCTTCATTCAACAACAATAACGAAAATCAAACATCCTTGTTGAAGTGGATCAAGAGGTCAGAAATAACGTTCAGATGTGTATTGAAAGAATCTCAGCTGAGTTGAAGATTGTAAAGGAGGATTCAAGAAATAAACCAAGGAGTTTGTCCTTCAAGAACGAGTGTGTTCTTGAGGGTTTTGTTAGTCACAGTCGTACAAGTCGGATTCAGCCGTAGCGAGGGGTTTGGAAATCAGAAGGATTTTTACAAACAGGTCGTAGAAGCGGAGGATCGATTGTGGACCTTGCAGGGAATCTTGATACAACTCATATCAAGTGGTGGTTCTTACAAGAAGAAGAAGATCATAGGGATTTCTATCTGTCTGTGTAGTGTAACCTTGTTATCAAACATTCAGCAAATTGTTATAAAAGTTCTCAGTTTCAATTGTGAAATTGAGAGGGAGACGTACCCACACGCGAGGACGACAGTGGAGAACTTCCTTACCAAACTGTCTGCATATCGTTCTTTATTTCTTTCTCTTTATCTTTTTACATATTTAATAATTTTGTAATTCAATTGGCTTGCTAAATTTTTATGTCTAATGATAAAATTAGTGGTTCAAATACTTTCATCAAACCACCACTATTAAATCATTAAACAAACATATGCCAAGTGTTTGAAAAAATTCCTAACAAATTTCTTAATTCATTGGAAATATTTCTTTAATGATAAGTGCATTTAAACGTTAAGAAATCTGAGTTGTATATTCATCAATTTCATCTAATAAAATTCAGCAAGTTTTTCACATGTCAGATTTTCTAGTAGTCGGTTCAAAATAGACGAAATTGATTCAGGACATTAATTTTCCGCTGCTTTCAACACGCTTTGATAAAATAATTTTAAATCTTTGAAAAAGTAAGAGGTGATATATTCAACCCCCCCCCCCCCCCCCCCCCCCCTCTCCCTCCCTCTCGATCACTTGTCACACCGTATAACATCTATGTGTCGACCTGAGCAAGTCAGAAGCTACAGACTTTAAAACATGACTAAATGTGTCGATCTAAAATATGGATGTGTCGACACATCAAATAAGAATTTCTGCAATTTCAGAAATCCTTCAGTATGTGTCGACCTGAAGGTTATATGTGTTGACCTCTGACTTACAGAAGCTTACAGGCTTAAAAACTGAATTAGATGTATCGACCTGAAAATCAAATGTGTCGACACATGCAATGCAAAAACATGTAGAAACTGTTTTTCAATATGTTGGGTCAATTTCAAAGTACTTTTTCATGATTCCTAAGACCTATAATGCAGAGGAGGGCCACAAGACATAGAGATACCATCCATTTTATCGACGTGTCATCTTTCCTGATTTTGACATCATGCAAAACACCTTGTATTGAAGTTGTACTCACAAAACCTTGTTGGCCAACAAATCCTTTCCATAAATCGAAATTGCATGTTCTGTCAAACCAAGTCACTTCGAATTTTGTACCACCAGGATTAAGCGTCATCTGATACTAATTGTCAGAACAGTAATTCGAGTACATATCAGAGTAGAGATAAATACACAAAAGCTTTATTCACGCAATTCAGTCAAATTGTTTATGTCTGCGACTATAAAGTAACTATAGTTCCCTTTATTTATATCTTGTGAATTGTATATAGGTTAAAGTGTACAAGCCATATATACAATACCAGATTTTAGTTTATCTAAAACCTTAATTCTTATTTTCCCCCAACAAATAATTATCTCTACCCATAATTATCTCAACAATATAAGATATACTTTCAACAACCTATAGCTATCTCAACAATCCATAATTATCTCAATATTATGAGTTATACTCTCAACAATCTATAATCATCTCAACAATATGCGTCATATTCAATAAATTCCTAAAGAAAATTAGATCTATAAAGATGAGCGATTTTTGTGGGCCATTGATTGGTCTGAAACAAGTACAACTTTTTGTTATTAAGAAAAACGAAGATTTGAAAAAAAAGCTAAGATACATTTTTCACCCTTCTATTACTAATATGTTTGGATTGACTTTTGAAAAGGACAAAAATCATTCTAGAGGTATAAAATTAATTCTAGAGTGATTTTAAGGTGTTTGATTATTTTAAAGTAGAATTGATTCGGCCTCCAAAATTAAATCTATTTAAAGTTAGAATTTGTAGTTTGAGTTTAAACATTGATTTTTACACTAAAATTTATTGTTCAACTCACTTGTACACTAAATATTGAGTTTAACTATGTTGAACTCAATTCAATTAAAATCAATTATGTCAAAATCAAGTGTGGTCACCGCCAATCCAAACGGTACACACTACATAAAGAAGAAAAACAACTCTTACATCCTTTATTTTTGCCACTGCAACACCATATAACTCGACCAAATTGAGATCAATAATAGATTACATATATTACAAATTACAAGGGCATAGTTTCCCAGATGAAGGGAAGGAGGAGGGCACTCACAAACAACCTCTCTTCCAAACCCATCAATGAATTTATGTAGAACAATAGACTGTCTATATATAATGGTTTTTCACATGTTATTTTACCAGAGGTAATCTTATTCAAGGGATCATCCGATACTACATGTGTACACCTTTATTTATTGGTTTCTCACAAGTTCCTTCCATCTGAGGTGATCTTGGTTCGTGACATTGTCGAACACTAAATACTTGCAACTCTTTCAGGATCCGAACTTTGGTTTGTTCCGTTATAACGAACTAGTCTTTCTTCCTAGACTCGAACTCCGTGGTAGAATATACACATATACACAGCACACATACACACAAAATTTAGATAAAAACAAATGAAGTTTCTTCTAGCACTTTGCTAGAAGTTTGCTCAATCAAAGCTAGATGAACGGCTCCACCTGCCTCTCAAGTAGTCCTCTAAAGAGACATTTTGATCAACACTCCATAAGGAGAGTGTGTCGTCCTCCACATCAAGCAGTGCAAGATTTAGGTGTGACTGTAAGTTAGAAGTTGGAGAAGCTTCTTCGTCAAGCAATTCAGAAGCTTTCAAAGCATTAATTTCTATCCTTGCCCACTTCATTACTACAGCATCACCTTTAAGAACTTTTGAGATCTGTGGTCCAATGGAACAAATATAAGACTTAACAATAAATGCTGTCATAAGATAAGCATAAATAAGTTGCAAATAAGCTCTTCCAAAACCACCTTTAAGGCCAATTTCTATATCACTTACAAGGCTCATTTGAGGCCTAGCTCCTGGAGCGCGTCTGATACAAAGTGTGGCTGCTAAGACCATCCTTTCTATCTTTTCATGATCATAGTTATCAGCCAAACTAGGATCCAACAATTGCGACAGCTTCCCACTATTTAGAATCGGACTTGCCTACAAATGATACATTTCCATTATCTTTTTTGTCCAACACCGAAGATAATAATGGAATAAAAACTAACTGATTAAATATATAGAGTACGACCGGGGTCTAGCACAAGTGATTGATGCGAAGTGTGTGAGTGTAGTAAGTATTGAGTTTGATTCCTACTCATAAAAAGACCAAATATAGAGTACATACCCACATTACAAGGCTCTCTTGACCCTTAGGATAATCGCCACTTATAGGCTTCCTCCCCGAGAGAAGCTCAAGAAGCACCACACCAAATGCGTAGACATCAATCTTATCGTTAACTTTACCATACATGAAGTATTCAGGAGCCAAGTAACTGCATAGATAGATGTGTGTAGTACATAGTTCAGAATCATTTCAACTACAATATTTTCCTGCAACAAATGTGCAGCGGTGCAGTTATTTGGAATTTGAAGTACATACCCAAAAGTTCCGGCAACATCGGTGCAGGTTGTGTATGATGACGAGGATGATGCCCATTTAGCAAGTCCAAAGTCAGAGAGCTTTAAAAAATCAACATAACTGCATGAGTCCTGTGAAGTAAAAATCGTTCAAAATATTGGTGTAAGCCAAAAGAGAGATAAATTACCTGAGGTTCAAAATCCTCCGATAATAACACATTTGATGATTTCACATCGCGATGGATCACAGTTTTGTCACCATTATTATGGAGATACTCCAAAGCCTTGGCAACACCCAATGCTACTTTATATCTCTCAGTCCAACCGAACTCATGTAGATTTTTCTTATTACCTATTAAACAAGAGGTAATCGTATGTGAGTAGGTTACATCGCATAAAAAATACTCTAACGAATCACATGATCAGAGAGATGAAGATTCATCTTACAAGAACACTAATGAGAATATTGCGTACCGTGAAGGTTATGTTCAAGGCTCCCTCTTGATAAGAAATCATAGACCAAAAGAAGATTGTCGTCTTCAAAGCAGAATCCAACGAGGGAAATGATGTTTATGTGATGCAAAGTAGTGATAATTTCTATCTCTAAAACAAACTCCTTCAAAACATCTTCCGAAGGCTTTAAGATCTTAACCGCAACTTCCTTTCCATCCGGAAGACAGCCTCTATAAACCTCACTGCTTCCTCCTTTCCCAATCAAATTTTCTGAAATAAAACCAAAAATGTCAATAAAACCAATTTAGAACGAACCGAAATCACAACCTAAAATGAAAATACACACCAGGCAAGAAATTTGATGTTGCTGACACAAGTTCTTGGTACTTAAACAATCTACAAGAAGACGAGTATTTCTCATGAAGTCCCACCAATTCTTTAGGAATGTTAATTGATTTGCGTTCGGGTGAAGCAATCGTCCCTATTTCAGCATCCACCGGTACAAGAGCACCACTTTTGCTATCTAGACCCAAAAACCGATCTTTATCATAGGAAAGATTTCTAGAGGGCAACTGCATTGCCCATTGAACCACAGAAATCCGAGGAAACGACGATCTTTCAGAAACTCTCCTGTCTGATGATGAAATTCTGCTATGTAGTAGTGGCCAACCAGGTTTCAAATTAGCCACCTCTCTGTCATACAAAGCTTTCACGCTCGAACCAGCATCGTTTACCTTTACAGGCACCATAGCTAATGAGTTCTTCTCATTCTCTCCATCACCACCGCTATAAGACTCTTGATCCACAGCTTTGTGGCAAGACGAATCCAACAATATCGAATCTTGGATATCATCATTCAGTACTTTTGAACTCTTGCCGAATTTCCATTGAATCGAACCGAGCAATCCAACTCGACTTCCTGCAACAACTCATAATCTAAGAACTTGATCCACTATCTATCTCTCAATAAGATCCCCATAAAAAAAAAGAAGACAAAAATCAATCAAAAGAAACCTTTTAAATCGGCGCAATTTGTAGACGACAATCCATCTCTCTTGAACACAGCTTTCCCATTATCAACAGCAAAAACCCAACAATCCTTAGACAGCTTCTTAGCACAATACCTACCTATAGAAATAGATGGCCTAATTTTACTAAAACCTCGCGGTGCTCCAACTATAACATGAGTTGCACGATATTCATTTGCTTCTCTAACCAGAATCCTCCTCACCGATGAACCCCGGCAAATCTTAAGCTTCAGATCCACCTACATCATTTATTTCCAAAAAAACTTACTTATTTCATAAAATCAATCAACTTTCCTTAAAATTGATGCTAAAAAAAAAAATCACTAACCTGTTTCAGATTACAGAATCCTTCATAACCCGAAAGAACAGAATCAAATGCTTTTACAAGAGAAAACAAAGACGATTTCCCATCTCTATTCACAGTTTCTACACCAACCATGAAAAAACAAAATTAATCAAAATACAACAAAAATAAGATCTATGAAACAGGGACACCAGAAACAAGGGAATTTGAATTGGTTAGTTAGTTATTTAGTTAGTTACCATGATTTGGAAGAACATGAAGAGCCACAATAAGATCACCAGGTTGAGCGACATTAACTAACGACCAAGTAAGCAACTCTGAGCAGTGAGTGTGTGATTCTTGTTCTTCCATCTTGACACCAACCACCACAGTACGGCTACCACTGGAGGCGGTGATCATTTTGGCGAAGCCACGTGGCAGTGGTTATTGTTGTCGTTATGTTGTCGGTGAGAGGAGAATGTGAAGTGAGTGTCGGTGGTGATGAAGGTGGTTAAAGGGAAGGTGATGGTGGACGGTGATGAATTGAAATAGAAATAGAGAGTGTGACTGTGAGTGTGTAACCACAAATTTGATTTAATGATTCTTTTTTGGTAATGTTGCTTTCATAGATATACAGAAATGTACACGTGGTGTGATGTAGAGATGTTAATAATGTTTCATGTTTTGACAGCGGAGTGTTGTTTTGGGAAAGGGAAATCTATTTATAGGTGCAATTAGGATGAAAGGTCAACGAGATTAAATTGGCGGGTAAATGAAACATTTAATGTTATTATTATTATTATTTTTTTATGGAAGTTTGTGGCAGAAGATTTTGATGCATTAGTATCTTGTTACGTTAAGAAAATGAATATAATTTGGTAGTGTATTAAATTTTGTAGCTTCTATGCTAAATACCCTATGTTAGAAAGCTAAGGATTTTTATATCATTGTTTTCTTAATTGATAAATTAATAATGATTTAACTTAATGCACTTTTATTATCATCTTTAAAGATGAAAACAACGTTTTGATTCCATCATCTAAAGATGATTTTTTTGGTTCTTGATTTCAAATTTTTTTTTTTTTATATTTTAGTTTCTATTAGAGATGAAAATAGACTAGATTAGGTTAGACTTTATAAGATCTGAATCTAATTTATGAAAAATTTATACAGTTTAAGTCTGACTTATGATCTATTATAAAAAAAAAAAATTGTCTGATCTGACTTTTTTAAAAGTCTGATCTGATTTAAAAGCATATTTAAAAATTTGTTTTTCATTAAGATTTCAATAAATTCATATTACTTAAAAAGTTTTACAGATTGACTTATATATGCATATATAGACCGACTTATTTAGTATTTTTTTTAAATATATATATATATATATATATATATATATATATATATATATATATATATATATATATATATATATATATATATATATATATATATATATATATATATATATATATATATATATATATATATATATATATATATATATATATATATATATATATATATATAACATTTTTTCTAATATATCTATATATATTTAACCATATATAAGTTGGTCTATAAGGTTTCATAGACTTTTTTAATAGTCTAAGTCAGATCTATTTAATTAAATAAACTTTTAAAAAAGTCTAAACTTGACTTTTTTAATAAATAAGTCTGATCTAACTTAGCCTCAAAAAAGCTAAGTCATAAGTCCATGTAGATCGATCGAGCATATTCCCACACTTAGTCTCCCCATCAATTTTACTAGTGATTTGAAGGACAGATTTAATACGATACCACAACAAAATATTGTTGGATAATTGATAACATATATACAAGATAAAAAAAAAACAAGTACTTCTTACTATTTTTTAGGCTTATGCAATCGCCTAAACATCTTTTAATCGACTTGACTTATGTTTTATTAGTAACTAACTTGTAACTCAAGTAAACTTCAATTAATCATGAATTACATACATAATATTTTTCCTAATTCATATAATTTATTCTCTTCATCTTATAATGAGTGATCTATTTGGAATAAAATAGTGTCACAAAATGAATGACCTATTTTAATTTTCAATATTGTTTTTCCAATTCTATCCTTTAATTAGTATTTTTTATCATTTCTAATACATGATAAGGGGTACTATAATAAATATATTATTCACTCTCTTACTTTTATACATTTTTTTAATATGTGCGAAATGATCAACTGGATCACTCATTGTAGAACGAAGGGAGTAGTTTTCTCATTCACATGAGTTTCTTCAAGCAATTAAACTTTGTTTTCTTCAAACATTTGGTGAGTAGGTTTGCAAGTTGTAGTTTTGTCTTGTAATACTCAATCTTCAATTTGTCCTTGTTTATTTGGTCTCTCAAGAAATGTTATTTTTTTTCAATAAATGTATTCCTACCATGACTCAATAGATGATAAGTCAAATCAATTACATATTTGTCATCAACCCACAACTTGGTCTCATATGCTTCAATGATATTCAATTCTTCCTATAACATTTACATCCAAAGTGTTTGACAAAATGCACATGAGACAACTACATATTCAACTTCATAAGATGATAAAGCCATTATTCCATGTTTCAGTTTGCTCCATGAGATTTGAACTACTTTAATCATGAACACGTATCATGCACAACTTTTCCTATCATTTTGATCTCCTCCCTAATATGAACCAGAATAATCATATGACATTGATTTCTTGCTAGTGTTCTTTTGGTTTGACATAAGTACACCATAATTTGACGCGCCTTTGATATGCCTTAGAATCTTACCAAAAAATAGGAAAATTTACCTATGTCTAACCTTTCAAACTTACGCGCCATGCTAGCCTTGAATCTTGCGAGTTCATCTTAATTTGATCTCGTGACTAATAGGTCATCTACATATAGACACAAGATGATTTAATTATGTTCACCTAAATTATTCACATGTAACCCATGTTCTTATGTGCATTTGGTGAATCCTTATTTGATGAAAAAGTTACCAATTTTCTTGTTTCACGCTCTATGGGCTTGATTCAGTCCATATAATGTAATTTTCATTTTGTACACCTTATCTTCTTACTCTTTTATCTCCAAGCCTTGTGGGCTCTTGACATAAACTTCCTTCTTTAGTGAGGAAAACATACTTTACATATAACTTATGCAATATCCACCCCTGTATGTTGCAATTTCAACCCTTATTCTTATGGTTTCAAGCCTTGAAATTGATACATACATCTCATTAAAGTCAATTCATGACCTTTGAAAGAAGTATTTTGCAACTAGCATTCTCTTGTACTTGGTTATCTCATCATTTAGTCTACTTTTTAACTTATAGACTCATTTTACATCTATAGCTTTCCCGCTTAACCTATTTACCAACTCCCATGTTTAGTTTTTCTCAATTACTTTGAGTACCTCTTTCGTAGCTTCTTACTAGTTCTCATATTCCAGTACTTGATTTAGGTTAATTGGTTTTATTTCACCCATAGTGAAATTCTGGTAAGACATAACTCAGTTGTCCTATAACATGTTGGGACATCTGATTTGACATAAACAAACATGCAAGGTATTAACAATAAAAATAATACTGAAAAGCATAAACAACACACATAATTGTTAACCCAGTTTTAGAAAAATCTTCCTACTTTTGGGGCATACCAAGCCAGGGACAAATCCATTCAAATAGTATCAATTCATAGATCCTACAGCAAACCTCCAGTTTATGACCTAATCACTTAATCACTATCCTTGCTAGATTTCTATCTAAGACTCACCTAGATATGAGCCCTCCTCAATACCTCTTCAATCACAGATAGCGATTGGATCAACAACAATTCTTAACAAACATGAAGACATACTTCCATGACAATCACTAGCCAATACTCTTGACTAAGACCACAAGTTGGGGTTGCTTCAAAGCTTCCTCCAAGAATAATACTCACTCTTGCTTCACAGCTTCGAAGAGAATACATTGACCATCTCACAACCCGAGTGGTTCACAAATACCAACTCTCTTAAAGAGTGGCTAACAGACTCAGCCCTAATGATTACAACAATCTTATGCCCTCACAACCACTAATAGTTGTTGATACTAGTGGAGTCTTCAACAAAGTAGTCATGCATTCATCAATCATACTACTATAGATGGGATTAGCTTCTCCACATTCTAATCCACCTAGTCAAAAATGCCACTTCTGACAATAATGCTTGAGCATCCAACTTCACATGCATAATCTCAAGCAGTAAAACAAAACAACCATCAATAGTCATGATGTTAAGACATCATGTGGGACATCAGCTCCATAATATAGAATCCAATCAAACTGGTTCTTGATATATTATTTAAAGGAATCATTGTGCATAAAAATGCTTTTAAGAAGCTCCCATTAAAACACACAGTCAGTGCAACTTACTCAGGTTTTTCCAAACACCTGAAAGCAATGGAGAGAAATAAACTCTCACATATTCTCTAAACCACAATGTTCAGAATGCATATTTGCATAATTTCCTCAAACAAATACTTAGTCTCCCGTCAAAGTATTCACCATCAGTATTTATGCACAACCTCCTTAGAGGATAAAAAAATACTCAGCTCTTGTCAAATTATTTATCAAAAGTCAGATAAGATTACCTTCTCATACAAGGTAGGACATTTGGTCTGACATCCTTCTTCTACATACGTATGGCACCAGCTGATGACAATCATTCGTGTCATAAAAATAATCCATATTAGGTTAGTGGTTTGACCTTAGCTCCACTCTGGACAATAACAACTTCCTTGACTGAAGGAATAAGACAACCTTTGAGATGATGTTCCAACATTGGATCCGACATCAGTTTGGTTTTCACCATTAACAATGGTCTGGAGACACCATAGTAATCCATAAATCTTTTAAGGGATACAAGAGGATCAACCATCAGTATCTAATCAACTTTCCACACCAGATCATACATACAGAAACCTACATATTACACATCTCAAGAATATTCTTCTTAATCTTCTGAACTTTAGACCTACTGTCTGACTTTGAGATGTTGGACGTCATTCTTATGCACCAAAAGAGGAGATTCCCTCTAACAGGTATCTAGATCAAACTTCAACAACCATGGCAATGTATGATCATGTTTCACCACAAGCAGACTTTTCAGACTAAGTCTGGTTCTCCTAATACACAAGGATTCCCTCTAGTCCTTGCAGACACATCTGTTCCATTATATGAGGACACCACATAATTGAACCCTAACAGAGAGAGGAACTTCCCATAACTCCCCATTGCTTCAAATAACTGAGATGCTCATCCTAGGTGATTTGGATGACTCTCCATAGTGCAGGCACCAATCAACCACATAATTCTTATTGACATTCCTCCAATGCTCACCATCCATTAAAAGAACTTTCCACAACAACAAAAC